GTCTTTTTCCCATTTTGCGTATGTCAGTGAAGATAACTTGTAAGAGGATGACCCCTCTAATATTGAAGTAACTTCTAATTTGTTGATATTGCTCAAGCAGCCACCAAAACTCCTTCAACACAAAAAAATATCAATAAATCAAGTAAATATAATTATAAAACATAAATAATATTGTAATATAATTTAATATTATTTAGGTTTTACCTAAAACATTTTGAACTACATATCATGGACTCTTATTAGTATCTTCTATTGAGATAAGTAAGGAGTATGATACTTATTCATAATGATGTCTATGATCTTATAGAATAGCCTGTCTGGATGGATGAAGCAGGTGATTCAAAGGGTGATGCAATGGGCATCTTCAATAAATAGAGTTATGATATTGTGATTGCTCTATTTTTAGGAGAATCTCATGGTAGTCTATCTCATCAATTAAATTGATGTTTCTTTTAAACAAAATCACAAGAGTTATTTATCTTTTCTTCTTTAGATTAGGAGCTTGAGTCAATTAAATTAGTTTAACAATAGGGCATATCCTTAAAAATACTTCATTTTGTTGACTTATGTTAAAAATCAAATTTAAGGTGATGATATGAAGACAACCTTGAGAATCAGTACTATTCATAATTACACAACTAATTTGTCATAACTTATCTCAAATTAACTTTGATGTACACCTTGTTGCCTCAACTCTACTTGTTATGAAATCATCTTTTTATTTTCTAGATGTATGACTAACATGTAGAAAATGTTGATTCAATTCAAACCATAAACTTTTTCTGTGATGTTAATCGACTAGTGTAGTGTGAGTAAGCTAATTTTCTCACAATGCTCCACCCCAAAATTTTATATGCAAAAAAATTATTTATTATCCACATCAGTGCTATTTTGATTCGAAAATTTCATTTGTAATAATATCATAAATGATCAAACCCGTTTTCAATAAGATAAATAACTCTTCTATCTAAAGATATAAATATAATCAATGTGTGAAATATAAAAGTAGTTATGCATAGCTTGTCATAAGTTGTATTGAGTGGCCATCATAAATTTGCATGAACAAAACAAGGTAGACTGACTATATGGCGTGACATCATCAGCACACAAACCAAACCGAACATTACGCAACTCAATTTAAAAATCAAGATAAGTATGATCAAACTTCAAAACTTCTCCATATTTTGGAAGACTGAAAAAACTTAAATTTTCTGATCCTTTTTTGTGTCATCATATAGATGTTGAGCAACATTGATAATTATGAATAGTCTTTTATACGTGAAAAAAGTGACAGGTTGAAGTGATGCCTGTATATTATATTTGTGAACTAAACCTTGGAGGATCATAAAACTTGCATTGAGTCTCATTTGTATTAGTCTTGTAATATAAAATGCAATTATTTACATAACAATTTATCTTTTTTTATATCAATACTAACTTGGACATAATTTTTCCTTAGCACTAAATTTTATTTTATACTTGTCCATTAAAGTAATCAGACAATCTGATTAAATCATTCTCAAAGCATGTCATATTCAGTTTTGATTCTCAATATTATAAGAGTCATGGATTACCCAGAATGGGTTATGCAATAATTTCATAGTGTTTATTGTATGGCATTTAGTAGCTTATAGAACTCTTGAACGTCTCTTTTTAAGGGCTCATCCTCCTCCACCTATCGAGTCAAAAGAATCTTATTCTCTTGAACACCATTTCCTTCAATCTATTAGAATCATACTCATAGAATTCCTTGGGCTTGCATAAATCTATGACTTTTAAACTTAAAAAGTGGAATTGGTACGCAGTTGAAAATTTGCATTCTTTAGTTCAGTTGGCTGAGAATAATATGAAGAGGCTTGATGAGGAGTATAATAATGATTCGACTGATTATCTTAGCTTGTTAGCAGGACAGGACAGGTTGACTAATGCTATTGCTATGGAGGACTTTTATAAACAAAATGTTGTAGGTCATCAAATTGTTAATGGTGATAGAAATACTTCTTATTATCGTGCTTTCTTTAAAAAAAGAAGAATTTGTAATACTGTTAGTTGGATTAAGCAAAATAATGGCAATATTTTACTCTCCTGATCTCATTGAGGCTGAGGGTATTCAGTATTATACAAAGCTAATTAACATTGATTGTAAGGTTCTGGCTAATATAAGTATGGACCTGTTTGCTAATGATGTTAATGTTGCTGGTAATATTAATCTTAAAATCATTCCTGATATTGTTGGGATCAAGAATGCTCTTAATTCTATTGACAGTATAAAATTACTGGACCTGTCTGCTTTTTACAAAACTTGTTGGGATGTGGTGAGTAAACATGTTAACTTAGTTGTGCAAGATGTTTTCAAGGGAGCAGATCTTCCAATATTTTTTAAAGCTTCCAATTTGGTACTTATACCTAAAAATAACGATTGTTTACATTGGATGCTTTCAAGCCAATAAGTCTTAATACTGTGGTTTCTAAGATTTTTTCTAAAATTGTGGTTGTCAGATTTCAGTCTTATTTCAATATTATTGTTGCTAAAAAACAATCTACTTTTATTAAAGGCAACTATATAGATGAGAATGCACTTATTGCTCAGGAGATGTTTTTGGACCTTGATAAAAAGGTAGAAATGGCAACATTATTTTCAAGATGGATATAAAAAAAGGCTTATGATACTGTAAGGTGTAAATTCATTTTGGATGTCTTCAAGGCTAGAGGTTTTAATCAAGCTTCTGGTCTTCTTATTACAAGAATCTTGGAGTATAATTATTACTCTATCTTGATAAATGATAATAAATGTGGTTTCTTCAAATCTTTTAGACGGATTAAGCAAGGAGATTCACTCTCTCCTATTATATTTAATATGGCTTTTGATTATCTTTCTATATATCTTAAGAGGCTATTCAGTGCTTATCCTAGCATGTATTATGCCGTCAAAAGTATTTTTGGAAGTTCTCATCTTGCGTATGCTGATGATTTAGTTATTTTCTCTAACACCAATAAAGGCTCTATCAAAAAATTATGGAAAGGTCTTAATCATTTTCAAGAGGTTTCTGGCTTGAGTTTCAATTCCAGCAAATGCAGTTTTTATTGCTCATGATGGATTTTTATTAAGAAGAAAAATTAGATTCAAGATTAAACTAGTTGTTTCAAAGGTGATCTGCACGTCAATTAACTGGGTTTTAATTTGGATAAAGGTAAAAGAAGAGCTTATCTTTTTGATAGTCTTATTGATAAGATCAATAAGAGAATTACAACTTTGGATAAATTTCTATTATTTTTTGGTGACAAAGTTACTTTACTGAAAAGTTTTCTTACTCTATACCTCTCTACACTCTACGTTTCATGAAAATTTCTACTATTCAAGTCAAAAGATTGGAGAACAATTTGAATAAATTTCTTTGGGTTGGTAAAGAGCAAGGAATTCACTGGTTAACTTGGCTAAAAATGTGCAAACCAACTCATTCTAGAGGTTCGGGTTTTAGAAGTATTAATGATTCTATGAAAATCAGTTTCATGAACTTATGAGTGCAATTCAAGAGTGCTAATTTCCTCTAGTCTCTTTTGATGAGAGATAAAAATTGTGGAAGTTCCCATCCTCTTTCTATTATTAGAAATTATTCTGACACTTTTTTTCTGGAAAGAAATGCTTAAGATTGGTAAATTCATAGAGGAATTTATTTGTTGGGATATTGGTAACGGTTTTTGTAGTTTCTAGTATAATAATTGGTTGGGGGATGATCCTTTAGCTGACTCTTATGGGGGTCCTTTTAATGTGATGGTGGTTATTAAGGGTTTTTGGAGTAATCATAGTTGGGATTTCAATAAGCTTGGGGATTTGGTTAATAAGGAGGATGCTTATTTGATTTCTAAGATTCCTATTACTACTAGAATGGATATAATAAAGATTAAAAGTGAAAGTGGCAATTCTATTTCTAGGATATTTTTTATATCTTGGCCCCATACTAAAGGGATTGATTTAAAATGGGCTTGAAATTCTATAATTAAACCTTCTCAATTTTTTCATTTGGAGGTTACTTCATCACATGATTCCTACTCATGACATTTTGAAAATGAAAGGTGCGAGATTATTTATGAGGAGTTTTCTGTGTAAACAACATGATGAAGATGTGGAACATACTTTTATCAATTGTCATTTTACTAAGGAGGTTTGGGTTAAGATGTTCATTCTTTTTGATAAAGTGATGAATGTTGACCATATGAAGTACATTGCTGGTTGTATTGATTGTTGGAAGAGTTATGGAGGTCAATTCCATGCTTCCATTCCTATTGTGATTTTCTGGTATCTATGTTTTATGAGGAATTGAGTAAACATAATGACAAGTTGGCTACTGTTTCTGGCAGTTTCAATTACATTCAAAACTTTGTGTTTAAAATGTTTTTATTTGATAGTTTTAAAAAACTTGTGAATATGCATAATTTTAGGATGTTTAACAAATTTATGATTTTAGTTCTTAAGAAGCTTAAATGGAGTTATAAACTTGTGTTTTGGAAAAAACCCAAATATGGTTTGTTGAAATTCAGTGTGGACGGGAACTGGAATTGTAGCTTGGCTGACACAGATGGAGTTTGTATAAACTGGTTAGCTAATCTTGTTCTATGTTTTTCTGTACCTATTCTATCGTCTTCTCTGATTGTTGCTGAAGCTGATGCAGTGGTTAATGCTTTGGTTTTTGCTATTAAATGTGGTTGGAGTAGTATTATTGTTGAAATGGATTCTTTGCTTCGTTGGAAGTATTGCACTCAGCAGATAAAGTATGGTTGGGATTTGATCATTCAAATGAAGAAGATTTTTGCTCATCAAATTTTTGTGTAGGTTCATTGGTCTTATACTCATCGTGAAGGAGATAAGGCTGCTAACTGGGTTGCTAGATGGGGTTTGACTTCATAGAGGATTACGGTTTCTAATATAGTTTTTGTGGAGCTGTCTTATTTGCTTATCGGAGACTGTTTCGATAAACTCTTTCTTTGGTTTAATCATTGTCTTTTTTTTTTTTTTTTTTTTTTTTTTTTTTGCACGAGTTATATATGGCTAGCGATTCTTAGATTTGTCATTCCTTGAGTGAGTTGTATTTCTTTTTTGATTGGTTGTTTTTAGTAAATTTATTACCACTTTTGAAATAACCTTTTTGTGCATAATAAAACTTTTTTACGAGATTTAATATGTGGTAGAGATTCGATATGTCTCATTTGCTTCTTTGGAAGTATTGTAATGATTTCAAAGATATTTTATCTAAAAAAATGACTGCAAAGATCTTTATGAGATAATGTGGTAGTGAAGGCCAGTAAAGCCACCTCAGCCGACCAACCACTCTCAGCCAACTCAGCTGACCGACCACCGCAGCTTGGACGACTGACTGATAACCTGAGCGACCGACCGATAGCCTGAACGACCGAAATAACACAATGACCTGCCAATCCGAAGGTTCATCCATATGAAAATATGCCAGAATAAGTTACAAATACGAAAAAAGCACGCCAAGAGACAATAATATCCTATAACGCTCATGCTGAAGTAAAGGAAAACAAGTAATTTTACACCTTTGACCCCCTATCTCCTATTAATGAGGTCGACATGTAACAGGGTCTTCTTTTGGGCTTGCAGGGTGGGGTGGGGGACTCTCTTTCCTCCTCTCTTGTAATCTGAGTACCTCAATTCTCACCCCTACAGGGCAAGTCTATGTGTGTTTTTTCTCTCTCTTTCTCCATTCTCTCCTCTCTACTAACTACCGCTCTGATCCTTGGGCATGCCTCACGGGACAAATCTAAATTATAAATCCCGAAAGGTGTGGGGTCGTGGAGCATGATGCGAATAAGAAAGGAAGCAACACCAACAAAGAGAAATACACCTCAAAAACTCTCCTCTGGGATAAGCACACGAAAGACTCTTCACCGAGATGTGCGCACGAAAGACTCCTTCGTGAAGAGCAAACAACTCCATAACGAGCAAAAAAGATTCTTCCGGGACGAGAAAATGAAAGACTCTCTTCTAAGATGAGCAAACGAGACTCTCCTACGGGAAGAGCACACGAAAGACTCTTCCAACACAAGCACACGAAAGACTCCCTTGACACAAGCACACGAAAGACTTTCCTTCGGAACGAGTGAACAAAAAACCCTTCTTCAGAACCTACAAAAAAGACTTACAAAACGAGCAAACAAAAAATTCCTTCAGTACGAGCAAACAAAAGGTTATCCTTCAAGAAGAGAAAACAAAACACTCCTTAGGTACAAGCAAATAAAACTCTCCTCCAAGACGATCAAACAAATATATCTCCAGTTTTGGATTACCAACCAGCAAGCGGCAGCTTTGATGAACCAAGAGAGTACAATGGGTGCTATAATATAATCACATTTTTTTATATTTAAAAAGCCTCATTTTTATTATTGTTTTCCTTCCAAGAAGTAAGAGACTATGAAACTTTTATGTATGTCCAAAAAATGTCTTTGTGGATCTTGATGAGATACTACAATATTGAGGGCTAGCGGGACCACCTTAGCCAGTTGACCACCTAAACCTGGATGACTGACCGACAGGCTAAATGGACGACCAACCAAACTCGGATGATCGAAACAGCCCAAACGGCCGACTTAAGGACTTGTTAAGCAGAGTCCTGCCATATAAAAAGTTGTTGAATCAATTACAAATACCAAAAAGGCACACCAAAAGACAATAATACTCTGTAACGCCCATATTAAAGGGCAAACATGTAAGGTCCATGGCATGTATTGGAGGCTTCTTTGGGGGGGGGGGGGGGGGGGGGCGGTGTGTGGCGGTGGGGGACTCGTATTATTGGGCAAGTTTATTTCTATTGAGAAAGTGATAGAAACATAGAAACGGACTCGCTCCCTTTTTATGTTGAAAAATCTATTTTTCATGTATAAAATAGGTCACATAACCCTAGAATACCCTAGTTCGCCCTTATAGGGAAAGTATGTGTGTTATTTTCTCTCTTTCTATCACTTTCTCTCTCTTCTCTTCGGTTTCTATCACTCTGATTATTGGGCATGTGAGATAAATTTGGATTCACAGATAGAACTGACAAGTCCAAAATCTGATTTTTAAAATGTTATTAATAGGGTCAAAAGCCAACTTAATGAAACCACATTATGGGACTCAGCGCACCAAGGCATTCTTCCTTGAGTTCCATCTTTTCTCCAATTTCACTATGCTGAAACGGCCGCATCAATCTTCCTGCAAAGCTAAACAAAAATCCCTAACCAATAGTAAGGCACGCAATTCATAATCAGCAATTTCCCAATTCAGAAAATGTCAACACGCATAAAGACGGTCACAACTAAAAGGTCATGTAAATAGCTATACAATATGAAAAAATTATGTTTCGGCGGCAGATTATTTAGAAATATAGGATATAAAACCACGTTGAAAAGCCTCCAATATTCTCCACACTAAAGAAACGAACTGAGCAGTTGCTCGAAGACATCGCTGGAATTTTCAGGAATGATGCCTGCCGTTTTATGAATTTATAAGCTTTATCACAAAAATTTACTCCAAGACTTCAAATAATTTCGAAAATAATAAATAAATAAATAAGCAATGGTTAAGACAGACAATGGCTGGAGAAATAGAAAACAACATAAACAAATGAAGCTACTTTTCCGTTTGATTAATGCTAGAGATTTAATAAAAAGAAGTACATTGTTTAGTTATAAAAGAGTATGTCTTAGGATCACCAAGTTATTTACCTGAAACAAGCTTATCAAATCATTTAAATATTTTGTCAAGATTTTGAAAAATATTGCCATAGATTAAAAAAAAAAAAAAAACAGAATGTGAGGCAGCATTAGCCGCTGTTAACATCTCTCGTCCTCTATGATATGAGTCAACTCCTTATGGCTTTTCAACCTCATCTTAAGGACTTGAAACTCTCCTCCATGCATATCATAATCAACTTCATTGCTACAAACTATCTCATATGGTCTCAGCTTTAGGCTTCTTTGTCAGTCCTCATGACAAGCTTCATAACATTAATACTCATCCACTTGATTACCTGGAAACATAAAGTTTACAAAGTGGGAAGTGTCGATTATTGTGTTCTTGCTTGACTCCTTAACAATCTTGAATCCTATACTGCCTAACTATTACATTCAAGACAGTCAAAAACAGGTGTTAGAATTTCTTCGTTTCACTTGTTCCAACAACTTGAAGTCTTCTCCTCTAGATTGTCATGACAATAAAATTTTCTAAGAGGTAAGTAATTGATAATGTTGTTCTTGAAGCATCCATTCCCATCATTATTATGTTTGAAGACCTTCCAAGAAGACATGAGACTATCCTCATTTTACGAAGTTCCAGGAAAGTATTATATCTCTTATCTACACATTTTATTCTAAGAACTTCTCTCTTCAGCAAAACAATACACGGATCTAGTAATAACATAACACATTGAGGAAAATATATCATGACTATCTCCATAACAAAGTCCACAGTTCCAAAAACTGACCAATCTCTTCTGGGTTCTTTGTGTCATTGAGCTAAAAAATTCCATCTAATTGAATAATTTGTGATACCAAGACTTTTATTTTTAACGATCTTTATAATAGATTAGATATTAAAGAGAACGAAAGGTAAATGTATGAACTCGCTAGATAAAAATAAGAAAAATAAAAATTTTGTTTAGGATAAAGGTATTAAGGATAAAAATAAAAAAAGTACTATTCTAAGATAAAACTATTCATAATTTGTGGGGGAAGATATTTTGATAAAAGTTTTAATGAAGATTGTGAAAATACAAAATAAATTTAATGATCTTTACATCTGAAATAATAGTATTTTTTTTTACCACCGCTGTAGTAAAACATAAGTTGAGGAGTCTAAAAAGAAAATGAATGTGAAAAAGCACTAGGACCTCATATTATTTTGATATAGGTGTGAAAAAATTTAGAAGAAATGAAAATTTTATGATTTCACTAACTTGTTAATATTGTTTTAAAAACTTAAAATATGTTTGATGAGGGGAGAAAGAGTACACTAATTCATATTTTTAAGAATAAAAGGAATGCACAAGACTGTAAATTATAGAATAATTAAGTTAAATGTAACAAAAATTTCTCAAAATCAATTTGGATTCATGTCGGACAAGTCTACAATGGAAGGTATATATTTATTGAGATGTTTGATGGAAAAATACAGAGAGAGAGTAAGTTAGAATCTACATATGATTTTTGTTAATTTACAATCTAAACTTGATTTATGGAGGCCAACTTTAGTATCAAAAGGTTATTGTTTAAATAGATATAAAACTAAATACATGGAATGTAATATTAGTAGTAGTAGATATAGTGGCAAGATTGTAACAACTGGTTTATACTATGTATACTTAAAAATTAAAAGATAGACATTTTAAGAAGAAAACTTGGAAAATAATCCCTCAAGAATGATGTGAGATCATATGATAAGTCGTGAAGTACGAAATTGAAGTTTAACCATCTTCAATGGTATAATATGACTAGCACAAGTTAATGAAAAAGAAAAAAGATCCTAGTATAAAATTTATATAATAAAAATTGAAACCATCAATATAGTCATTATTTTAAATTTATTTAATAATTTATTAGATTATATTGATTAGGAGAAATAAAATAATTTGAGATTATAGATGATGTGGAAGATTGGGAAGATATTGATTCAGATAAAGATGTGTGAGAGGAGAAAGTAATAAACTATGATGATGCATCTCATAAAGTACCCTAAGTGATGTGAGTATAGGGAGACTTGTCAATTCATAAATTACAACTACAGACTAATTAATATTGAATTGAAAGGGAGAGAGACTTATTATTTGATGCTTGTAGGCTTGCATCACTTTCAATTATCTTATTTCGGCACTTTATTATCTTACTTTAACATCTTACCCTAATTTTTGCATGTTACTTGTTATTTCATATTTTTAGTAATTCAACGGTTTAATTTGAGATTTATTACTTAAAATACATTGAGCCTTATGCCTCATCTCAGGAAAAGACAGTACCTCAATTCCTTATTGCAAAATTTCAGATCTTATCGGGATATTAATATTTAATATGAATATTATTTGTCATTCCCTGCTCTATTAAGAAAACTTCCCTATCTCAACTATTTATCTTTGCCAGACTGCATTTCCTCTTACAGCAATATTGTTTGATTATTTGCTTTGTCTATACACTTCCACCAGCAAGACAAGCCCTCTCCTCATGTATTCAATGTGTATTTTTCGAGTATTTCCACAACGGAAAGAATATAAATGTTATAATCTACTCACTATGTTTATTAAATTTGTTCATTATTACTATTAAATCAGAACATTTCTGTTCTCCTTCCTCTTACATACCTTTCCAAAATGTTCCACTCCCTCCAAAAGCTCTACATTCCACTCCCTCCAAAAGCTCTTATGTCTACATTACCATTGTA